GGTGTCTGTACACAAAAATGCACAATTCACATGCATTATGTTCTACAAACTTTTGGCTATGAACGTCGCATTACAAACCACTCTAAAGTCACACATTTTTGACCAAGTTCAAGGCAATGATACTGACTTCCTGGTCTTAAAGGTCACAGATGAATTCCGGTTCATTTCTGGTAAAGCTAAAAACAGAAGGAAGAAGTGGGCTACAGAGCAAAATGAAGAAATATTTTAAGGAGTTGCATAATACAAACGTTGTCTGATTAAAGGTGAAAATTCTTATCAACAGCCACTTCGCTTTTTCCTCTATTAGCAAGTTTCTGTTTCTCGGGTTGTTTCATTTACTGGTATGAGGCAAAGGTGTTAGGAAGGGGAAAAAAAAACTTTTTCCTGTTGCAGTGCACAGGAGATGATACAGTAACACTGATCCCCTGAGACTGCAGGGAAAAAACAGATTCTGACAGAGAAGATGTTAACTTTGATGAGAAATAAAAACTTTATTCATTACAAAAATAAAATCGAGAGGAACAGATATAAAAACGGCTTTGGAAAGTCCAACCACCCTGTTAATTTGATGGTAGGCAGTTGCTTCAGGCAGAACTGCTATGGATTTGATCACATCCTGGTTTTTAGGTGATTTTTGATTGTTTGGAGGAAGAACAAGATCACACAGGGAACCTTTACCTGAAATAAAGCTGCTATTGTCATACAGTGCAATCTGAATTATTGCTATAAAGAATACAAAATTACATTATGATTAAAACTGTATTATCTACTGAAATGCTTTATTTCTGGTAAAACATATCTTTAACAAGGCTTACTTTAATGGTCTTTGGGAACTGGACATGTTTGGTAGTCAGATATTAATCACTGTGAGCTTTTCTCAGCAACACAACCAACTTTATTTACAGTAAACTGTGTGAACCGAAGCCTCAACCTGCCTTGTAGGCAGAGAAAGCTCTGAGGTCTAAGTCATTCCTTTCATGTAGTATTCCCTAAAACTGTGTAACATAAAAAACCCCATAGATTAAGGAATTTATTATTAGAATATTAATTCAAAGTAAAGGTAGAATTTTTTTAAGAACTAAAGGCTATGTTTTCAAATGCATTGACCGAACCACATTTTAGCAATAAAGCAGTTTAAAGTGCTTTACCTCATAAAAATATAATGCAGTCACTAATAACAGTTCTTATGCGATATCATGAAATCCTGAGACAGCAAAGGATAATATATTTTTTGACCAAGCTATAAAAAAACTAAAGATTTTCATTTACTTTTGAGCAGACACTTAGACACAGAGGACCGTAATGCAAAGCAATTTCACATAAATCATCTTAGGATCACTTATTAAAAATGCCTCATTATTTTTTTTGCCATATTCAACATAATCCCGGATAAGCCCCCACTTATATCTATTTGGGGGAACTGTGTATTGTGAAACAAGCAATAGACATTGCAGTTTGTCAAATGTGATGATCAAAATCATCAATACACATCTAATATGTTGATCAATGTCACAGTTACTGTCATCAAAGGCAACTCTGAACCGGTGTGTTTTTAGACTTCATTTAAAGGAACTCAGTGTTTCAGTTGAGTTCACAGTTTTCTTGAAGTTTGTCCCCTAAAAATATGTGCAGAATAAAAAAAAGTGATTATGATTGGGTTACATTCCTTTTAATGAAAAAAACCATTTTCTATATTTCATTCTCAAATTATCTAAACTTGTAGCTGAAGCCATGAAGCACTATCCAGCTGCCTCAGTTGCATTTCAAATCAGTCAGAAATAGACATGTTAAAATCCAGAGGGTGTCACTGCCCTACAGTAGACGAGCTACAAATAGCTCCCCCATTCTGGCTGTGCAAATGCCAAAAACTTGCTTGAGTTTCGACTGATCATCTGAATGAGGAACTGCGAAGGGATTCAGTTGACTTTTAATGTCATGGTTGTTGGTGCCAAATGTGCTGGTCAGTTAATTTTAGGAGAATCTTGAAGCAGATGGGCAGATGGGAATCTTGAAGACAAATTAGAAGAACCTGTCCTTTTTGGGTTAACAAATTTTACCACCTCAACCTTCTTCCTCTCAAAGTAAACCATTATTGCCAATAAAGAAAAATGATTTACAGCTACAGAATGTCACATCACAATGGCATCAAGAATAAAAACATTTAGATTACTAGGTCAATGCTTAATTTCCACAGTTTAGAAAATGTAGGTCATTTTAAGTTTCAAGGTGTGCAAATTCGGCATAATTTGCACAAGGTTACCTTTTTTATCTCCCTTCTTTTTTAAAATTAACACGTGCGTGAATGTAAATGTGCAGGCACATGACCAGCTGAAACTGCTTTCATTGTTTTTATGTAGAGGAATGTGCAAGAACAAGAGTAACCTGTATTTCTTTTCTTCTTGTAATCATGTGTTGACTGTAACAGGGCAGGAAATGTCTTTGAAAAATCTTAAATGCCGACACTTCCTGGAAGGTTGCAGGACAACTGGACACTTCCAAATCTTTGTACGATCTCAGTGAAACAGTTTCAAAGCTTATCTCATAATAACTAAATACTCATCATTAGGTGGAGATTTAAAGAGCATTTTGTTTGCTTTTTACACAAAACTAGCTCTCGTCCTCAGAGGAAGATATCTTATGTTACTAGAGCTGGTGTTAGGGCAGACTGTCCATAGTCAGCATAGATCTGTGTCGGGTTATTTCAGCTAAAAGTGGGTAACACATCGTTCAGGGTAGGGTGTCCTAATTTTTAGCTAGAATTGACATTTTGTTGACATAATTTGTGTAATGAGTACAAGGTTAGCTTTGTTCTTTAAATAGAATTACATGGATTTCTTTTCCAGAATTTTTTTTTCAAATATCAGTTGAATATTTCTTTTGATTGAATGTATTAACATTTAATTTTTTTAATGATTATATGTATATCAGATATTTTTTGTGACTGTGGTGCTTATTTGTGTCTTCTGAAGAGGACCAGGTTGCTGTTGCTGACAAACACACCGAGGAGAAGTTTATGGTGTAGTTGTGTGCTTAAAGGAGTTTAGTGCCAAGATTAAATTTACACAGCTGCTTTGGAGAAGTCAGCAAACTGAGCTGTATTTAAAGCAAATATTTCATTCTCCAACACAAGGGGAATATTGTAATCATATCCAGAAAAAATAAGAGATGTCAGACATTTGAAACGCTGTTTGTTGTACTGCTTTCTGCAGCTGCGTTTCGTATTTGATCAACAGTTTTGTTGTCAACAGGTGAAATGCGACCTGGCGTGTCTGCCTGTCGCAGTCGGGTGCTGACGCATCCCCTACTGTCTGTTTCCTGTCCCCAATACTGTGGGGCCATAATGTGACAGTCTGGTTCCAGAATGACAAGTTCTGCCATCTAAGTCTGCTTCCTCCCAGCTGTTTCGCTTCTCGTTTCACGACAGAGATGTACTTTTAGCACAAGGTGTGAACATGAGACCCTTCCCCCGTATGTTGCAATCCGAGTGCATCTTGCATTTTACAATTTTTGCAATTCAAAGTAAATTTTTGCAGCAATTCAGATGACGTTTGAAGATGTATTTAATGTGGAGTAACTATTTGGAAGTTTTAAATTCCTTTTAGCGCATTTAGTACATTTTTGCCTGAACAATTTTGTGTTTCTTATGGAGTCGATTGGGTCGCTTTGTTGAACGGATGATTGAAGTTTGTAGAAACAAAACATACTGGTGTCGCAATTTAACTGTTAGATGTTACCACTCACCACTAAGCGGTTAGGGGCTGGCAAAACAGACAGGAAGTTTTTCATTGGTGCAATCCATCAATGTGTCTTTCCTTTCAGATGTGACACTATTAAGAATTAAATAAACAGCCATTTGGTTTAAGACTTGTTCACTGTTATTTATGCTTTACACCACAGGAGTATAACAGAAATGGCTGCAACACAAACGTACTCTAAAATTTAACCAGTCTTTTTATATGCATCATCAGATATTCCTATATCGGTTCTTTTATCTGTGCCGTCTTCTCAAATCCCCAGTCGATCATGGAAGATGGCTGCTAGTGTGCCAGGTTCTGCTGGGATCTCATCAACGATCAACCGAAATATGACTGAAAAGAAATCACATTTAAGTGCCTTGAGATGACATCTGTTGTAAATAGGTGCTTCAAAATCTCAATTAGTGATTTCATAGAGTACAAACATTATAAATCTTCCATGTTCAATGTTGTCAAGAAGTATTTTAGGTAGGAAATAATCCTTAACAAAATCAAATGTTCCTGAAACTGCTGCTGTACATTTATTTATATATATATATATATACACACACACACTGAATTTTTAAATATATCAACACTGTCTAATCATGTTTTATGACTAACACTCAAGGGTGGAGTCTGACTCAAATGTATTACCAATGATACTGAAAGGAGGCAGAACATCATGTTTAGTATCGGTAGATCTTTATTAGGAAACAACCCGAAAGCAATGCGTTTTACAAGCCGACCATGTGCATCAAGTCAGGAAACTACAGCAGATATCAAGATTTATCTACCATTAAATAGAGTCACAAATCCACAACCAAGTGATGGGGAGAAAAAAAAAAAAGACTATTTACACAAATTCTTGTTGACATTTGACCAACCGTTTGAAAATTATTAGGCCCCTTTCTGGACTGGAAGCTGTCAAGAGGAAGATGAAACTGGGGGGTTATAGCAGGTTAAAAAGAACTGCAACGTCAAGGTGGAAGGAAGATCATACTTTGCAGAAAAATCACTTGCTACTCTTGGATCTGGTTGACAACTGAGCTACTTTTGATTCCCGTTGTGCATCCCTAGTCTACAAAATAAACGCAGAAGCTGCCCGTTTGTACAGGTGGTGATGTAAAGTCACAGTTCAAACAGGGGGCTGAGAGACTAGCATGTACAGATGCTTCACCTAACTACCCCCCAGCCCCCTGTTCCTAGCTAATCTTATTAACTTCCATACTCTTCTCAAACTCTAACATTCCCTGTCAGGAATCCGTTTCAGCACCTTCACACACCAACCTCTAATTTCCTAACACTACAAAATAGTTTACTTCGCTAAAGCGCGCGAACATGGAAGCAGAAACTAAAGACACCTCGACTCTTTACTGTGGAGATTGGGCCATATCCTGGTGTCTAGGCGACTGAGGCGGTCTTCCCGCGGTGGTGTTTGCGGACTTCCTCCATCAGGTCCTTGAGGTACTGAATCTCTCGGCTGATGGACTCCGCCTTCTCTTTCAGCTCGTCGTTTCTCTTCTCCAGGTCTTCCAGTTCCGAGCTGAGCTGCTCCTGCTCAACCCTCTTCTTCTGCCGGTAGCGAGTGGCGGCCGTCTTGTTCTGCTCCATCTTTTTCAATTTCTTTTCCACCACCTTGGGTGCACCAGACACTGATTTGATTTTGGGGGTTTTGGGGGAGGGAGGCTCTGGTTTGCAGTAGGGTTTGGTTCTGGAGGAACCAGCGACAGGGGAGTTCGGGGGGGATGGGCGACGTGGGGGCGACCCGGCTGCCGACTCTATGCCGGAGTCGCTTTCGGAGTCGCTCGACTGAGCGGTGCTAGGGGACAAATTGGGGAGAGCATCTTTGTTTGACAGAACCACTACGAAGTGAGAGGTGGGAAGAGAGAGCACAATTGGACTGGTGGTCTGGAGGATTTCACTGGGGTTTGAGATGATGGCAGTGGCGACAGATGGGGACATTTTCTCAACATCCAAGACGTCAACTTCACTCCCCAGCTCCAACGTGTAGGCCGGAGAGGCGGGGGATGACGAAACGTGTGGGGATGAAGGCTCGGACTTCAGGACACGTTCCTGACCTAGAACCACCTCGTCTTCAGAAACAGGAGGGACTTCCGGAAGTGGTGAGGGGACGTCTGGTTCTGGGCTGATGTGCAGGGATGAGACGGTTTTGTCAAAGGAATCTAGATCCATGTGGGAATCAAGTGAGGCAAGGAGATCATCAGGGGAGCTTGGCGACTCGGTTGAGCAAGAGCCAATTAGAGATTCCAAGTCAAAGTCGCTCAAGTCGATCTTTTCTGACATCCACTCCATGTCGCCCAAATCGTCATCTGTTGACAAAAAGATTGCTAGATTTGGTAAAGCTTCAATGAAAAAAGCATTTCAGACATTTTTAAGCAACCATTTACCTCTGCTGTCACCTGCTCCGTGGCCACTGAGCAGATCGCTGGCTCCCAGCAGGGACAGCAGCTCGGCTTCAGGCTTGATGGGATGAGAGAGGGGAGGGGATGGAGGAGGGGAAGCGGAGGAGAACGGGGAGAATGACATTGTCTGATAAGGAGAAGTGGAGGATGCGTAGGAAGAAGAGAAAGAGAGGGAGGGCGAAGCAGGCGCCTTCACCTCGAAAGAGGAGGAAGGAGAAAAAGCTTCTTCTTCATCTTGGTCCAGAAGGGGCCCCATGGGGTCAGCCATCAAAAACGAGGACCCTGTGGACAAGCAGTTACCATGAGACTCAAATCTACCAATGAATAACCTCTAATTATATATATAAAAAACACAAACTTCTCCCTGCAAAGATTCCAAATTGAGATGCAAGATGAATGATTTTGCAAAACCTCTGACTCAATAGCCTATACTCAATATTCTGTATTGGAAATAAAGCGTCAGCGACATCTGCCACCCAAACACGGACCTAAGTACAGGGCCTCCATGTCCTCCAAGGCTAGCTGGGAGAGCGTCATGGCTGCTGCTGGTCGGTAATGGTCTCAAAAGGGTTTGGGGAAACAAACGGGATTCTGACGTCAGCAAGTCGAGGGGTTCGGTACTGCTGTCGAGGGCAGCAAAGCTGAGGGTGGTTGCTGAGAGAGACCTGGGGGAAAAGCATTGGGTCATGGTTAATAGAAATGTAAAATATATTCCTACAATTAAAAACTTATTGATTTCAATTAAAAAAAACAACAATCACATGATCTTAATGGAATAAATGGCATACAACTCTTCCATATGCCAGTCGGTACACCGGCTCCCATTCTAAATGTAATTTTTTTTATATCAATAATGTTACTAGCTTTTACTTGATGAATTTAATATGGGACATTTTACAAGACAAACAAGTTCACTGATCAACCCTTTATTGCACAGAGGCAGACTAACGTTTTGACATACACTTTTCTTTAGAGTTAAAGTAAAAACTTCTTAAGGGCTTGTAATTATATTACACGCATAGACCTCATATTTTATTGATGTGAGAATAATTTATGTGCTGTAAATCAATTAATAGCACAACAAAGTAAATCAGATTAAATCTTTGACATTCCCAAAATTGCACAATACCCAATCCCGATTCTTATGTGTGTATATAGAAAAACATATTGTTTATTCTTTGGGATAAAAAAAATAAACTAGCATATACATGGTCTGATGTCAGAAATTTTGTGAATATTTATTGTAGTAAGTACTTGTGCCAAAAATGACATTCATGAAAATAAATGGAAAATTGTTGACATAGAATATTTGTATTGAAATCTACAAGAGGGAATTTTTGTCCAAGAAACAAGTGGAACACAAATTGAAGGAAATTAATAACTATGAAGCATAGTGCTACATGATTTGCAACAATTCAGGTTTGGCCAGTGTCTGCGCTGAAACCAATTCAACATTTTCACTTCCTTGAATGAAGCTACTAAGCTCTTCTAACGATACAAATTCTCGGAATGTAGTAACATTTTGGCTACATCTCTGCAGTTGGGGTGGAGGCCAGTTCCAGCTAATTACGCCTAAAGCTTCAATGCGTGTTTGATAAGAAACGCCCCGCCCTCCACCGGGGAAAAACGTTTCCTAATTTGGTCATGCATTGGGCGACAGGTTCCGCCCTCTTGAATGAGTCACAGCTAAGATGTGGGAGGATGACCGCCATTTTCACAACCATGCCATCTGTGCATGGCGGTCGAACCAGATGAAAAAAAGGCCCGCGCCATTTTGGCCACGCCACGTTGACAGTGTCTAATGTATACAAACACGACAACTGTTTAAATATGCAGGTGTATTACAGCAGTTATAACACTTCTTTAAATGATAAAAACTATTTTATGAACTTCCATTTAAGTTAGGCGACATGCGCCCTACGTTTGGTTAAATAGTCATCATAAACTGCCGCCAGCTGGTCAGCCGCAGCCGGCACGCTGAAATTTGACACCAAACCACTAAATTCTTATAATTTAAAATATTTCGTGTCATCGATAAAACTTCAAAACGCGAGGCTACGTAGCAAAGACAACAATGGGAGACATAAAACTGCCTGTTCTAAAAGCCTCACAATGTGACATAATGAATCAAAAATACTTACGCCATTTTGCAAGAAATAGCCAGTGCACTTAGCCGCTGCACTGCCGAGTTTTTGCCGCTGCAAAAGTTGCTGCCGCACGCCTTTACACTGCCATTTTTGAGCTTTAGAGCTTCTGACGACTATCCCATTCAATGTGCAGTTACACAACCGAAGAACAGGCGGAGACGGCCGCACCAAGCTATAAGAGGGTCGAAGCACCTCCTCCTGTATTCTTCCGCGATTGCTATTCGTCAGAGCCGTTTGTTTTAAATAAAGCGACAGCACGAGGGGGTTCTGTTGGAGAATATTAACCAAATTTACGGGTAGCTCCGCTCACCAGGATAATGGTGTAGTTTTAAACAAACGCCTCCCTGTGAATGTCATCGACATCTGGCAGAGTTTCAAAACAGAACTATGTCAAATGTAGGTCGTGTAGGATGTAAACAGTAAATCAAGAAACAGTTTGCAGGCACTCATCCTTGGTTTTCAGCTGACACAAACATCGTGCCTTAAACCTATGTTGTTGCTAAACAGAAAATACCTTAATGGGGAACACTTGAATTTCTTTATGCATTTCTACATAATGACAAAATTATTTGTATGCATTTCTATGACGTTTTAACAGTAATCTAAAAAAAAATACACACACACACACACACACACACACACACACATATATATATATATATATATATATATATATATATATATATATATATATATATATATATATATATATAAAACATTTCATATTCTTTATTGTCTCGTTCTCGCAAGGATTAGTTTATATATGTATACTAATCCAGTTGAAGTAAAACTATTTTTATAGAGATAAATTGAACATGTTTCTCTTTCCATTCACTTCAGTCACATGTTGGATTTTGTGTTTATTTTGTTGTGTAGTTACGTTTTTGCAATTAAATTAGTAGTCTTTCTTCTGACTTCTTATTTGTAGTTTCATTCCTTATTTTAGTTAGTCTGACCTTTGCTGATCTGTGTTTGCCTTCCTGTTTTCATTCCCTTCTGTTTTTGTTTGTTTCAGTGCCTCTTTTTGTTTATTATTATTATTATTATTATTATTATAAAGTTTAGTGGTTTTCTGTTTGTGTGCGGTTTTCTAGTTTCTTCAAACAAAAACCCAACCTCACCGTCTTCAGTCCCGAAGCTTCATGATACAAAATTTAAAAATAGAATGCAATTGATGCGAGTTAATGCTGCTTCACACTCATGTACAGTAGATGGCGGTATTCACCTTGAAGTTGCTTGCCATCCGCCATCATAGAAAAGAATAAAGAAGTCGTCGTTGTCGGCAGAGCTGAAAACTGGAGGTTAAAGTGTGCCTTTAACTTACATTTAGTGTGATAGACAACAAAACCAGCCTTAACACAGACACCAAATAAGCGACACTCACAACACAGTAATGTTTCCTCCTTGACTACAGAACTTTATTAAAAAGATCAAGAGTAAAAATAACATGAAATATCAAAGAGGCCAATAGATCAAGGAAAAGTAAATACAAGCTTAATTTCTAGTATTTATAACCATTACATATAGGCTGATTAAGCATTTTAAAATATTACATGAACCTAGAAAAAAAAAAACAAGTTGAACCATAACCTTTTTCTATCTTCTACCTTTCAGAAACCGCAATTTCTGAAAGGTACATGATTTATATTTTAAATGTTCTTGAACACATCCTTTATCTTATGAAGCTCTTTCAGACCAGAATCAAGGTCTTTCACTAGTGTGCGGAGCTTCATGGCGAGCTGCGACGCAAGCTTTTTCTTCACCGTCTGTCCATCTTTGTTGAAGTAGATATCCATGCCGAGTGCGAAGCCATCCAGCAGGCCGGAAGTGTTGTTACTCTTCTCTGAATCTATGGCACTCGCTTTCCCAATAGTCAGCTGCACGGCAGACGCTGCCTCCTTTGAAACCATCTCGTTTTTGTCCACCATGACTTTGAGAACAGACACACCATGGCACTTCAGCACATCCATGCCCTCGTTAATGAACTTCAGGCATGTTAGGATTTCTTCATAAGCCTTTTTGAACTCCTGTAGGGTTCTCTCAATTTTCTTTTTGTCTTGATTTAGATTAGCCTGAAAAAACAGATGTTAGAAGTTCAGAAATTGGGTTTGTTGCACTAAAAATAATTATTTATATCTGGTAAACCTCCTCCTATTCACTTCACTTTATCAAGTAGCAAAACTGCTGCAGTTAAAAGTCATTCTAGTGGAGCATGTTCAACAACAGTAATGGAAAAGAAGCTAATGGCCACAGAAAATAATTGGAACATTGAGATTAAGGAAAAGGTTTGAGAAAATGTGAATTAGCTGAAACTATTAAATAATTTACTAATCACAATGCAACTGCAGGATTTTCTAACACTGTGGGACTTAAATGAAACCATAAACAAAGTCCTGAATAAGACTTGAGTAAGCCTGAATAAACAGGCTTAATAAACAAGGTTACCTTGTTTGCGATGGCTGCTGACGCCCCGGTGACACCGCCGGCTGCAGCCACTCCGGCCCCAACAACGGTCAGGGCCAGTGAGGCTCCAGCTGTGAAAGGGGCCAGGATCACCCCAGCGGCAGCTGCCACTCCTCCTGCTGCTGTTGATGCTCCTCCGGTGATGCCAGCGATCTTTGTTCCCCTTGAAACCTGAAAGTATAATTGTTCTCATGTGATACAGTGAACTCAGCTCAGCCAAAAGTCAACAGACTTTCACTACAACGAGAGAGAGACATCTTCTTGAACATTTACGTCTTCTTTTCATAGGATTGTATCATGTGACATTACCTTGTCCAAGTTGTCAGCGATGCTACGTAGCTCCAAGATGAGCTCTTCAAGGTTCCCATCATGTGTAGACATTAGTTGGATGTAACTCTGGATTGCTTTGTACAGATGCCCAGCTTTAACATTGATGGCCCTGGAACATTACAAGAATACCTGAGTACTTTGAACATGTTCAGTTCAGAAAGATGGAAGCTAAAACATTTGAACCATTGAAAAAAAATGACACTAGACATATAAGTTTTGAAAACTACTAAATTGGTGTGGTTTTTTTACAACCAAAACTTGTAAGTAGTTGTAAATAAAACACAGCAATTGGATGAGAACCTATACTATGTTCCATCAAATACACATCCATTGCTGGATGTGTATTTGGGGGTTCCTCTGTTCATCAATTCATCACAGAACAATACAGAAACACACCAACATGCATCCACACACTCATAGCCAAGGACAATCAACCAGTCAACCTAACAGTCATGTTGGATTGAAGCTGGAAGAAGTTGGAGTACCAGGAGAGAGAACCCACATATGAGGCTTTCCAATCTAGGCCACAAGGCAACGGCGCTACCAGCTGCTCTGTTATTTTCTATAATTTATTCTAAAAATATTCCACATATAATAGAAGATGAGATGCAATAGTCTACTTACTGTTTGTCGGATAATTCTTTAAGTTTGAGATTCTTCAAAACCTTGTCCCATGCTGCAAATTAACAAAAAACAGTTCAGCAATAAAGGCGTTTAAGTTTGCCTCTTCTGCTTTTTCTGCTTCAACAATCTGAACCTCTGTTTTTAGCTAGTAGCAAGTTGCACCTAATGGTATTTATTTATTTATTTATTTATTTCTCTTAATAATTTTAATTGGCTGAGTATTTGATTAGTTACTGAAACAAATAGATATGCTTAAATCTCCTCTATAGATTGCCTTATTTGCAAATTATTACCTGAAAGTTTTATATTTTGCCTTATTTTTATTGATAATGAGCGTGATCCTCTTTTGATCCAGTAGTATGATTCCCTACTAAACCAAAAGAACAATATAGCTGTTGGACTCATAAAAAATTTTCTATTAAGTGAACTTTGAGCAGATTACAGAAGGTTTATTTTAAATAATCGGTTTTGATATTTCCCTACGGCGAGTACGAACCAATCCCTGGGCAGTACAAAATGTCAATTGCTTTTATATCTGAAAATGTTGGATATGAAAACAGAAAACTGGCAAAACTGGTGAAGGGACAAAATGGTTGGCACCTCAACAAAATGATTTCATTTTACATCGGATTGTAAATTATTTCTACTCACGTGTCATTGGCTTGAAGGAAACAGATGAGACATCCTACAGACAGGGTTACAGCGAAACATCAATGCTCCATTTGGAGGATCTACTGAAACACTGAAGGACTGTGTTTGTTGAAAATACTCACGTGTTTTATAATTTTCCGTGTGGCCTGTTCGCTTGGTGGCTTGGTTGGGAACGGAGGACGTTGTTGGTAACAGTTGTTAAAAGTCTTGCAAAAAAGCAACAGTCTAGTTTTACAGTTGGGTCAGTTCTTGCCATTATGGTTCTTGTATTCTCACAACAAAACTTCTCACAAAGCTTCTAAACTTCTTCAGCTTAGCTCACGTATCTCTGTATGTACTTTGAAAGACTGTGTTATGGTAGCTTTCCTAAAACGTATTAATTCCACATAGTTGTTGAGTCAATAAAAATAAAAACAAAAAAGCAAACACGTACCTTGACTAGCTCTTTGACGTTCATGGTTTGCTCTTGTTCAGAGTATTGTTTCCCGACATTCGCCTGTGAGATCACCGGTGGAGGAGTGGAGTCCCCAGAACCGGTCTGTGTTGACGACACAAAAATGAACGTCACCTTGACAGTTAAAGAATTTTATCCCAAAGATTTTTAGTAATGACCCACACGACTGCATAGAAGTATGAATTTAAAGATTTCTTCTCTTTCAAACCTCAGACGGAGGAGGGTCACATCTCAGCCACTCATCATCAACGGCTCGTGTTTGAATGTGTATCTTCCTCTGAAGAGGATCAGGAGATTGCAAATGGTAAGACGTGGGCAGGCCAAGTTTATTTGTACAGTCCCAGCCATAAAATGAAGTGATTTACAGGGGGGGGGGGATAAATGGAAAAGGAAAATACAATGAAGTTAAGAAAAAAATTTAAAGAAGTCCTTAAAGGAAACATTCAAGATTGAAGAACAAATAAATGACACATCAGATAAAATAATATACTGCCCCGTATCCTTGGTACGTTACTGTAAACAAAATTCATGATTTAAATGAGACCACAGTTTCTACATATCTCACACCAGCTCTATTTAGTCCACTTTAACTGAACTCTAAATCGTTTGTCAAGAAAGCCTGGAATCCACAATCCAACTCTGGTCCGCCTAAAAGCCTAAGTCTCAGTTCTGTTGAAGTGAACTCTGGGTTTGAAATGTGAACAGCAAGCAGACCTGGAGACCACTCCAAAAACAGGAAGTGAACTATGGCGCAAAGCTTTCTGGGTAAATAAAAGCAAAACAAACTGCAAATCAAGCTAGAGGGAAAAATGGCTTGTGGTCTTTTGCCAAGGATAAAAGAGAAATCCTACAACCTCTAAAATCGGACACCACTCAATTCCTGTTTACATTTTCTGAAGAAGGAAGTTGCACTCAGTGTTGTTTTCTCCAGTGGTTTTGGTTGCAGCGCCACCACAGGCGAGGAGGGTAATCAGGTTTTGTCAAAGAGTTTGGTTTGTTTGACACAGTGCAGCATGAAAAACAACCACGCTGCAATTTTAGTCCCCAACTGAACCAAGTCTATCATCAGACCATCTGTCTACAGGGCAGTCTTATGTTTGTTTTTTTTTAATTAGTGAGAGTTCAATAAAAATACAATTACAATAATCTTAACATGCTGAAAATAAAGGTATCTACCATTATTTTTTGTTTCTGTCTCAAAACTCTGTCCTACAAATTTTTGAAACTGATTTAGCAGCAGAATACATGTGGATGTGGTTAAATCAAATAGGTGTGAGTGCAGGTGGTTTTTATTCTTAGTTAGTGTTGGTGTCTAACCTTGTATTTGTGAGGAATACTAACGTCTGTATTTTCTGCATTAGGTATTTGGCAATTCCAACCCATCCACTCTAAGATTTGATGAACAAACTTAGGGACTGAAGTAACACAGAACTGTAACGCTGTGAGTCATCATCATGTAGGAAAATGTAGTAATACTGCATATTCTGAGAAAGAGAAATCAAACCCTAAATAAATGTGCTCCAGTAATGGAGTCTTGAGGGTAGGTATTCTTTTGTAACTTTCTTCAAATTCAGAACATTTGGTCAACATCAGGGATAATCATCTTTCAAAACGTATCACTTCTAAATAACTTAAAGCAATTGAATTTTAATATGATTTAACTTCAGTCAGATAAAATGTGCACATGTCGTCTCATTAGATGTATGTAAACGTGTTTTCAAATGTAAGAGTTTGAAAAATAATTTCTCAACTTTGTTTGGCATATTTTGTGAGTCTTAAAAACAAATCTGAAACCAATATCTGGTACGGCTCATACAGTGAGATTTGCTGTTTAGCTGGTAAATCCAGATTTAATACTTTCACTTTTAGTTTTACTAAAAGCTATGCAAGAAAGATTAGAAAGTTATGTAAGATAAACAAATTATTTCACTGCCTCCATTTTTATCAGTTTTTTTCCATACACAGAAGCATATCACAAATGTCTTGATGTGAAAATATAGTGGTCTTAAAAAGTTCAGATGGTGGCTCTTAATTATTTTATTAACTGAGTTTGTATATTTTAACAGCTAATCATAAGTACTTCATGCAATATATATATTAAAAATGGAGTGGTGACAAAATCACCTTAAAAGTCTTCTTGACCTCAGAGAAGAAAGTATTGCTTTGAACATCACAATTTTTGTTAAATTGAATTTTGTGAACAATTTTTCTGGTCAGTGCAAAGTATTGGACGATTTGGTGTTGTAATGACATTTTAACACCACACACTGATTTGTGCAAGAAGTTCAAGAACCCTCCAAAAGTATAGTTTCAAAGCAAAATAATATTTTTGAACCAAATGTTTTCTGATGTAGTATGGAAATGAAAAAGAACTAATAAAATCTGCATTTTAGTTTCCCTAAAACTTAAAACGGAACTTAAAAAACTTAAAACCTAAACTTAAAAAAACCTAAAACTTAAAACCGAATCCAATCCATCTGCTAGAATTAATTATGAATTCACTACCATGCATTCATGAAAACTGAATCTGTGCTTTATTAGGTAAAACATTTCATGACTATCACTATGAGTTACGGCTTAAGCAGTTAAATTTTTTTTAAATAAATAAATAAATAGTTTCTCACCTGCTCCATGATGAAGGCTGCAGTGTCTAGCTGTTCCACTTTTAAACTGAATGTAGCTTAACTAGAATCCACTGGGTGCATTTGACGGTACTATCATGATGAGTTTGAGGAGATTAAAGGGTGTGAAAAGAAAAACAAAATGCCGGAATACGCAAGAAAAGCCTCACACAATCCTTTACCGTTGGATCAGAACTAATTTTCTGTTTGACTGCTCCTCCCTCCTCTCTAGAAAAAAAAATCACAATTTCACAGTTGCGGTGTTTACGTTCAATAAGAAATGAAATTAAAATCACACGATGAAATAAATTGCAGTCTTCTTTTACAGAAGAGTTACGGATTCAACACGTTGGAATGACAACTTTTTATGAATTGTGTGATGCTGTGAGAGCCGCGGTGGAGACAGCTGCACATTGTCCGAAAAAAAGAACAAAAAGCAAACTACAAATCATGAAGAAGACTATTTCCTGTCATCTACTTCGTGGTTTTCGCTAGTAACTGTTTGTAAGTAACTCGTGTGACGCAAAATAAAGGGTTTTGTTTGCAATATGGCAAAAAAAAAAAAAAAAAAAAAAAAAACCGCAGCCCCCGCCAAAAACCCCCTCTGAGAAAAAAAAAAAATTTTTAAAAATGGGG